TACGGAATACTCGGCCTTCCCAATCCGAGTGTCCGGCGGGGGTTGTGGTTCCTTTCAGTTCTTTTGTCGGCTCACCGACGCTAAATAGCGCCTCCAACATTGGCTCGTAGTCTAGATCCAAGTTCACAACCTCCTGGCACAAGTGCCCCGGTCTTGTGCCGGGCGCTCTGCTTAGTAAACACCCAGACGTCCCCCGACCACCTGATTTGTCATCTCCGAAGTCCGGCGGTTCAGGCTACTTTCCTCCTGGGAGGTCATTTTCACTACAATAAGTTCAGGGACGACTTGCATAGCCTAAGATCCTACTCACACGCCGGGATGGAGCGTACACCAACGTCCAGTTTCTCATGTACGCTCCACCATGGGTTGCTACCCCACTTACGCTCCCGAGTAGACCTATCTGCCGAAAGTTTGGCCAACACTTCCTTTCTGCTTTATACTCGCCTCTCTCCTATCGAAACCAATGCATTGTGCGTGCCCCACATCTAGCTCCGCAATTTTTGCGTGGTTGGTCTGTTCGTTCAGCTTGTTCGCAGTGAGTAACAAGCTTTGCTTTGATGGCTCTGTGTGTTTTTTTATCCACTTCAAGCAACGAACACCCCCTCCCCCCCTCCACCGTCCGATCCATTTTGGATCTCACGCCGGCGAGTTTTGGGGTGTCTTAGCTTTTAAGTCCTCCACCGCCCAATGGGGGACTTGAGTATTTCTTTTTATGCCGTACCAATAGGCATTAACCTTAGGTAAGCTTGTGTTTACTTTGGACTGTACCCTCCCCATCCTCTGGGGGAGGTAGAAGGGGGGGGGGGCGCATGGCCTCTATTGTTCAGGGGTGCTCCGGGTACGGGTTGGGGGGTCGGGTATATGTGTACTGCATTCTCGAATTGTCCCCTCAATATAGCTTCTGTGGATGTTCAGTATACAGCTATCCCCACTCAAAGCGTCAATGTGTCCGGCAATCTCATACCTTACTCAACCTGTGTGGTTTCCGTAAACAGCTATCCTCACTCCACTCATCCATGCGTCCCGCGTCTTTGGTAGCGCATACTATGGGGGCTGTATTTGGGGTGGCGTGTTTTACAGCGCGTTGCCAACAGCGCCAACCGACGTATGTCTANGGGGGGGGGGGGGGGGGGGGGGGGGGGGGGGGTACTCATTGTCGTGCATGCCATAGTCGTTTGACCGTTGAACTAGCATATGTACAAAGCCGGGACGGTTTCTCACCGGACCAGGCTCTCAGATCACCAAGCGCGAAGCGCCGTGAAGTGTTTGGCGAGTCGCATGAAGGGTGCGCTGCATCCTGCTAAGGGTGTTCGGCATCTTGTGCTAACTTCCTTGCGTACGGATGACAGCTGCGTATGACTTCATTATTGCTGGTGCTTTACAGAGACAGTTGTAAGCACTGTGTAACTGCCTCGAGGATGCTTGACCATTCGACATGGCGTGGTGCGATCACCCCCCTTTGTGCGCCATGAGGGTTCTCGACCCCGCACTACATAATCTACTCGACCACCATCCATGGATACATGTACCGCAAAAAAAAGGCAAAAAAAAAAAACGGTAACCAGGTTGCAGAACCAGGTTGCAGAGCTCACGAAGTGACGGGCTTGTTTTACAACACGGATGCCAGGCGACGAAAACCCAACCCCGATCAAACACCGGGGAGGGCCGGGGGGAATCAACTCCCGCGCTACCGCCAGGCTAGCTACGCCCCCACAAATTCGTATTTTTTTTGTCCTTGGGTGAGGAATCGAGATGTGTAGTTTTTATGTATTTTTTCCGTGATTGTGTGTTAGTCCGCCGCGTCTTCGTCGTTACCCATGCTTACTGCTGCTGCTTCCGTCTTGGTTGTCGGTCAGATCGGGACAGGAGGAAACCACACACTGTCTGTCATGGACCTCACGTACTCGGTCCAGGTCACCGACAAGGACACCAAGGTAAGAAGAGAAACGAAGCGAAGACGAAGCAGAACACAACTCAAGGGAAGGGTGTACGACTGAAGGCTGAGAGTCGCCTAATTTTGCCTGACAGCTTCTCTGGTATCTCATGGAAAGGTTTGCTTTGTTTTCATGTCACCCTACGGTAGGATTCGCTCACCACCAAGAGTGTGCGTACGACGGGCATGATTGTGTTGTGTTTGTGTTGACCCGGGGCATCGTCGCCACACGCGACAGCGTGTGGGCAAGACCCCACGTGCGTCGTCCATAGCGCAAGCATCACCTCGTTCGTTCTCTCTCCACCCCTCCTCTACTTCTGTTGTGACTCACCCCACTCCTATTTCTTCCCGTTCCCCTCTCCTCTTCCGACAGCTAACCTCTATCCATTACCTCGTATCGCGTGCCCTGGCGTGACACACTCAGGAGAAGCAGACGAAGACCCTCCTTCACCCCGTGACCTTCAGCATCAAGCCCACGGAAATGCTGGCCATCATGGGCGCGTCGGGGGCCGGGAAGAGCACCCTTCTCGACGTCCTCGCGCAGCGCGTTCCCTTCAGCGAGGCAAGCGGCCGCACTGACTACCTGCCCACCACCCCCACCCGTCCCTGTGGTGCCCTTCCAGCTGTTTGACCCTTCCTCGGTCCTTCAGCTAGAGAAGCTCCCCGAGCCTTGGCCCGTCAGTTGGCTCTCTGTCCGTAGCGAAGGGTTAACCCCTGCGGAGATGAGCGTGTATTGAGATTTTCTTAGCTTGACGGCTGCAGCAATGTTTTGTGTTTGTTCGCTCGGTCTCTCAGATAGTCGGGTACCACCGCCGGGCTTGCCTCCCCTCCCCCTCCCCCCACCTTGTTGTCCGCGTGTTGGTTTTTGACAATGTTGACGTGTGGGTGGCTGCTGCCGTGATACCCCGCTGGCTTGCCCCAGAGACTGTTGAAACACCCTACAAGCAAGTTAACAGCCGGAGAGAGGGCTGTGTCGGTATTTGCAACGAAGCACAAGGTAGTGCACGCGTTGGTTTCCTGCTGCACCCGAAAAATTGTACTTTCAAACTACGTTGCATTCGATGCAGACTATGTTGGATACACAAGCTTGCTCCACGGATAAGAGATAATCACTTCGTACTGTTCTTGTTCTACCGGTCGTAGCATCCACATACGTGCTATCTTGCACTGTTCAAATGTCGTTCTGCTTGTGTTTTTTTATTTTTTTTCTCTGGTATTGACGCGTGTCGGCGCGACGTCAACCAGTGCTCATTATTTCAATCGTCCATATAATTCAATGGTCCTTTCAGGTGGAGGGGAGCTACTTGCTGAACGGCCAGGCCATTCAGCCCAAGGAATTCAAGCGCATGTCGGGATACGTCATGCAGGTGAAAGATTGGAGGGTCGTTCTTGTCTAGCTGCTGCTGCCGCTGCTGCTGCTGCTGCTGCTGCTGCTGCTGCTGCTTTTTGGCGAAGTCTTCTTCTTGGGGAAGATAACGAGATGGACATTTGACGGCAGTAAGCGAACAGCGTGTTTTGACAGATCCCGTGGTGGCTCGAGCGTGCAGCGTTTGAACCTCGTCCCGGAGATTCCGGCGCTTTTTGCAATGCAAGCGTTCCGGAACAATGGAAACGACCGTAGGGCTAGCCAACAAGAACGACTAATATTATAGTATTCGCCAACGACAACGACAGTAGTAGCCAACAACAAGGACTAGTAGTAGCCGGCAAAGATCCTGTCCTTGGGTGGTAAAGGGGTCGTGTGCACCCAGCCAGGTTCAGAAAACTTGACGGATGCTGTCGCGTTTGTTTATGTTTTGTGCTCCTCGAGTCAAGCCCTGCGTGCATGCAGGTCACACGGATCTACGTCTCGGCAGGTACCAAAGATTGTTCGTTGCCCAAAGTCAACCGAGCACGAGCGGGTAACAGTCTCGTCTGGGAAGGTTTATTGCTACATCCCCCCCCCCCCCCCCCCCCCCCCCCCCCCCCCCCCCCCCCCCCCCCCCCCCCCCCCCCCCCCCCCCCCCCCCCCCCCCCCCCCCCCCCCCCCCCC